ATGGTCCATCGGTTTTTCCTACTAACTCAATGGTAGAGCGTTGGACTCCTTAACGCTCAATGACAAAAAACCCCAGTTCCAATTAGAGATCATCCACACCCATAGTTAGGCATGGCTAGCTAACAACAGATAACAAATCATAAATTGTCATCCTTTTCCCAATTTCCTCTCAGTACGCCTTCCCGTATCTTGATCGGCCACTGTGCGACTACCTGCAAGGGCTCTAAGTTCAATCGTAAACTGATTGGGGAGTATCCCTCTATTATAGCTAATACTGCCGAGCGTGACTGATAGAAGAACTTGTCTGTGGCTCGGTAGCAGAACGGTTGACTTAAAAACGTTCTATCCGATTTCGAATTCTAGGTCCCCTAAACGTGGCGTTGGGTATGGTTAGTTGACGACGGCTATTAGCTCTATCCAACCTCAGTTTTGAGGGACCTGTTATTCGAACTCGGACTACTTGGTCTTCGAGCATTTATAAGTACAAATCTCTGTTACTTAGCCACGGGTCCGTTGTCCTGATTGGGGACCTCCCAACGTTGAGCAACTAGACGGCTTAGAGCACGAACAAAAGTGTTTATGCAGGTGTTCTCAGAAATCTGTTTGTCATTGATCAAGATTTACTATCAGCGAAGCAAAAAATATTGGCGTCACTCGCTAACCACACCCTAACTCTACGCTTGGTGGGCCGAAGAATCGAATGCCGACTTAATAGCCAGCCGAAGTTTAGAGCTAGCTACGACAGGCCTGCACTATCTCTAATGTTTAAAAACGTCTGAAGTAGTTCTGGCTGGGGACTAAGAAGATAACTAAATGTACAAAAGCGGTCATTTGTATAGGTGAATACTTGAAATATACACTTCCATGGACACCCTTTAGCTTTCGTAGGAATTGCATGTAGGAGCTTAAGCAGGTTAAGAAGCGTCAATAGTATTTTCTGATATTTAATTCATCCTGTGCTTTTGCTGTTTCAGAGGTTGCGGGAGCTGAGAAGTTTTTCTGCATTTAAAGCCGTCATCACGGCTCTCCAAAGTTGCGCCATCCGGTCACTCCGTCAATCGTGGACTCAGTTCGAATTGTGAGTTTTCTTCACTGTTTGTTTTTGCATATTTAAATTTATTTAATCCTTATTTTTACTACATTTGAACTTGTCGTCTTTTGCGAAAGAAACTAAGCAAGACAGTTATTCAAACGGCAGTATCCTCCGACCATGTTTCGTTCCAGGGATCAATGAGAAAGACACATGAGTAACACAAAAGATCGATTGTCAGTGCCCATGAGAATCATTACCTACGACATATTGGGCATAGATTGCAATAAAGTCAAAATTTCGCACACTCAACTCGACACTTTTCAACATGAGTACCCTGAAAAGCTAAGTGAAGTATGTAGACTGAGATTTCACTGACGGCTGACAAGACTATTTTCCCCTGTTAAGGTATTTCTCATTTTGAACAAAAATATTTTCCAAAAGTTTGAGCCTTTCCAGGTAGCTTACCCCATTTATAAAGAATAATTTACAGGTCATACGCAGAAGACCTCACAAAAACTTAACTCGTTATCTCAAAGTCTATCCTAGCCTACTAGTTACCAACCTTGCGAAACATGACTTCTAGGGCACTTCATCTCATCCGTGGTGTGTAAAGGGCCCACTAACTCGGCCTCGCTCTATTTTCCCTTCTCATCATCTTCCAGAAAAAAAGTAATGCAAGACGCATAGAAGGGATTCTGGACAACTTTTTTGTTCGATATGAACTATCAAATATG